CCCCAATTCTTGAGGTGGTTAGTTAATGGAATAACTTGACTATTTTGAGTACCACCGGCTTTGATAATTGTACTGAGAATATGTCTACTAACATTTATTTTAATGTGCATTATTATTATATTCGTACTGACAATATAGGGGGAGCTCTGGTATGTAGTGCCTAAGACGTTTGACTGCTAACCAGAAGGCTGGCAGTTCAAACCACCAGCCACTCCTTGGAAGGAAGACTGGGCAATCTACTTCCATAGAGATATATAGATACCACCTCAGAAACCGAAGGAGGGGTGGCTATGAGTCGGATTTGACTCAATGGCAGTGAGTTGTTTTTTGTTTTTTTCTAAATAACAATATAGTAATTCTTTATGTAACACCCTTACATAAGTAGAAATTTCCTTCCAAACACACATGGGCATAGGATTTTGAAAAGCGAGGAAAACATAAGAATTGCATGTTTGGGGAGAGTTCTATGCCATTAGACAGTGTTGCTGCCCATTAGCTATTTGCTTGGGCTCCTGATTCTCCTTTCTGGAGAGTCTTTTTTTCCTTATTCAATTAGGCAGATATTGATGGAGCATCTACTTTGTGTTCAGGTACTTGATGCTACAGAGAATTCAAAAGACATTTATTACAGATTTCCTGAGTCTTTTATTTTTTAAAGACCCTGATAGATCTAGATTTTCATTTAGTATGTTTTCCCAAGAAAAAAAATAGTGACCCATTGCTGCTTTATATCATGGTTGTAATTTTGCCTAAACTAATCTAAGAAATACAGATTATATGCTTTAAGCTACATAGACATTTGGAGGAAGATCCATGAAAAAAAAAAATTTTTAATGGTGCAAAAAGAAAATTACTGCCAACCTTTGCATGATGGTGTCTATGAATAGCATGTTCATTTCAAGTTCAGTTTGCAGTCATCAATGAGTGTAAGAATGTTGCAGCAGCTTAAGTTCAAAAAAACAAACAAACAGACAAAACCAGGACTAAGAAATTCTAGATTGTTACTACTTATCATTGCTCATTCTCTACATATTCCTCCCAATTTTTATTACACATGTCAATAGAGACAGTTGGAGATATATCTCAATACTAAGGGACAATTATAGTGACTTTTGAATCCATATTTTGCTGTATTTTTTAGACCAGATATACTTTTCAAAATATTTGACTTATTCTAATATTAAAATTTGCTTGCTTTCCTTGAGCATACTGTACATCATTGTGGAGGCCAGTGTCCTAGAAACATAACAAGAGCTTTTCCAGTTGATTAGTTTTCTGAAAACCCAAATGTTTCATTCTTAGAAAACTGAGAGTTCAATCTATTACTGTGTTCTAGAATATAATGTAAAATCTTATTTATAAATAATGATGTAAATAAAAAGTAATAACTACTATATGAATACTTTTCTCTCCTGGAAAATATCTCCAAATGCCTATGTAGTTCATAGCTCATGTCCTATGTCTCTTAAATTCATTAGGCAGATTATAATCATTATTTGAAGAAGCAATGGGTTAATGTTCTGTTTCTTAGAAAAACTGTGAATGAAAATTTGACTTTTCTTATTTATTTTTTTTAGTATTATAGCAGTTAAGACTATTAAAAGTAGGTAACTGTTTTTAAGTATCATAAAATCATTTTTTCCTCATAAAGTAATTTACTATCCTGTCTTTAAAAAAAAAAATCATTCAGTTGTTAAGTAATACAATGAGAATTTTCTCAGAAGGCACGAATACAGGACACAGGGAAAAGGTAAACAGAGAGCAGAAGTAGGAAGAGAGCTATTACCCTGTGGGGATTGCAGTCAATGTTACAAGCAAAATGTGTATGAACTGCTAAGTGGAAAACAAATTTGCCCTGTAAACTTTCACCTAAATCACAACAAAAAGTTTAAAAAGGGGGCAGGAGAAAATGAGGATTTTTTTTTTTTACCCTTCACTATGGAGATCTTTATCTCTCCCACTCAGAAACCTTCTCATCCCCAATTTGAATATTTTGAAAGCATATTTTTTTCTCTTCAAGAGCATTTGGACATGTCTAATATATTGTTGTTGTTGTTGTTATGTGCCGTCGAGTCGGACCCGACTCATAGCGACCCTTCCTTGGGTTTCCGAGGCAGTATCACTACAGAAGTAGATTGCCCCATCTTCCTTC